GGCTGAGGTTCAAGAGGTGGGGTCTAGGCCAAAGCTGAGGAGGAAAGGTAGTGAGGGGCCAGGAGCTCTCCAGAAAAAGAAGAAAGTGGTGGAGCAAGAGGTGGGGGGGGGGACGAGGTACTGGAGTTCATACCTTGGCCTTTTCCTATTGAGCTCGATCTTGAGCTCAGGGAGTCTGGGGTTGAGGAGGTTGAGGTAAGGGCTCTTGGTAAAGGGAAAGGCCTCGTTCCCCCTTTTTCCTTTCAAAGCAGCCTCTTTGATGCGAAGAATGCAACGGGGGCAAAAAGGTTTATTAATGCAACCTTCCCCAAAGTGGACAAGTGTCAAGCTAGGGAAGAGGTGCTGAGGTATGCTGGGGCGACGGTGGTGAAGTACGCTCTAAAGGTATGTTAAGTTGGTTTATGTGTAATTGTTGTTGTTGTTGTTGGTTTTTTTTTTTTTTTTTTTTTACTTTTGCTAGAATTGCAGAGTGCAAGCTGGGTGAATGCTCTAGCCCAGGAGTTTGTGGAGAGTATGAAGGAGTGTTCTCTTTTGCCAAGGCAGTGTGAGCAGCTGCAGAAGGAGAAGGATGAGCTAGAGAAAAAGAATAAGGACATGCAAGAGGCGTTGGATGAGGTGGTGCTAGCAGTGAAGTAGCTTGAGTAGGAGAAGGATTCTCTGAGTACTAAGCTCGTGTTTGAAGAGAGAAAGAGAAAGATCTCCGAAAGCGAGCTCGGGGCTCAGGAGAAAGAGATAAAAATGATGAAAGAAGCTGTGGTTGAGCTGAAGAAGAATGTTCAGCTGTTGGTACACAATGGGATGGAGGAGCATATCAGCAACTTCATCAACTCCAGCTCATTTGACAATATTGTCAATCTCTACCGACTGCCAACTACGATCCTCGCCTTCACTGATTGCAGAAGGAAGGTGAAAGCTGAATATCCTGAAGTGGATATAACAAAGATCACCTTCGACGAACAAGATGAAGGGGTGGAGGAGAACAGTGAGAGTATGTCAGCAGACATCCGACCTCAGATTAAACTGAGGTGGGATCATGATGAAGAAGGACGCATCGTTTTTCCTCCAAACTTTGACTTTGAGTTCGTGGCAATGGAGGAAGAAGAGGCAGAGGTAGAAGGTGCTGGAGTTGAGGAAAACCAACCACCTCTTCCAGTGGAGGTTCATTCAGTTCCTTCTGATGAAGAGCAGCCACCTCTTCAGGTAGATCAACAGCCACCTCAGCCACCTCCCCCAGCAAAATAATTAGGAGTTTTTGTTTTTTGATTTATGTATTTTGAATGTGAACAATGATTAATTTAAACATTTTTGTACATTTGTTGATTAATCTAAAGAAAATTTTTGAAATTGGTTTTGATACTTATTTTGTGCTTTAATTGTTTTGTGTTAACATAAGAACTGAGATAAAATAAATTACTTTGAATGTGAAATGAGATGTGAAGTAAATTACTTCGGATCTGAACTGAGAAGAAGTAAATTATTTCGGATGTGAACTGAGATGAAGTAAATTACTTCGAATGTGAACTGAGATTCATTAATAAAAATGAAGTTGAAAGAATAAATTCCAAACAGATTGACCTCGGAGATATAGACTAAGAGATGAAATGAATCTCAGAAATGAAGAAGTAATAACTATAAAGAAGAATAATATCACTTCAAAGAAGTGTATTAAGGGTAAAATTTCTTCAAGTTATTGATATTCCAGACTCTAGGAATTCTCTTCCCATCAACATCTTGGAAGATATAGGGGCTAGGATGTGGCACTTTGACCACTGTGTAAGGGCCTTCCCAATTTAGAGCTAATTTACCAAAACGAATTTCAAATCCCGTTAGGCCAACTTTTCTGAGAACAAGGTCTCCTACTTTGAATGTTCGAGGGCGAACTCGTTTGTTGTAGAAGTTGGCTAATTTTTGCTTGTATACTAAAGTTTGAAGTCGTGCTTCTTCTTTGACTTCGGCAAGCAGATCAAGGTTTTCTTGAAGCAGTTGTCCATTTCATCTTTCATCGAAATGGGTTAACCTGAAGCTTGGGACTCCTATTTCAATAGGAATGACTGCTTCGGTACCAAAGGCCAAGTGGTAGGGTGTTTCACCTATTTCATTGAGTTATAGTTTTTAGAGTATGCTTTATACATTGTGCATATTTGATCTAGGGTAAAGCCGTAGATGAGAGAATAAAATAGAATGAAAGTAACTTGACTTGGAAATAGTACCTGTGGCAGTTTGGCTCATAGTTCTATATGCCCAGAGGACGTTGTTGAGTTCGTTTGCCCACCTAGCCTTGTGTTGCTCCAACCTCGACTTTATTCCTTCTAGTATCACTTTATTAACAAATTCTACCATACCATTGGACTCCGGATGATAAACCGAGGTAAATTGTAGTTTGATCCCGTAACTGGAGTAGAAATCTCGGAAGGAGGAGCAGTTAAACTGAGTACCATTATTAGCCACAATCTGGTTTGGAATTCCATATCTGCAGATAATTGAGCCAAAAACAAAGTCTTGGACCTTTTTGGAAGTAAGACTGGATAGTGGTCGAGCTTCAACCCATTTTGTAAAATAATCAACACCAACGATTAGATGGGTTACACCTCCAATCCCTTTAATGAATGGACCCAAAAGATCAAGTCCACACTAAGCAAATGGCCATGGTGCTACCAAGTTGGTGAGCTCTTCTGCCGATTGGTGAGTCAAATGTGCGAAAAATTAGCACTTCGAGCATCTTTGTACAAATTGAGTAGCATCCTTATACATATTCGGCCAGTAATATCCTTGTCTATGGACTTTGTGAGCCAGAGTTCTAGCACCAATGTGGCTTCCACAAACACCTTCATGTACCTCCCGAAGTGCGTACTTAGCGTTATAGGGATTCAAGCATTGTAGGAGAGGGAGTGAGAAAAATCTCTTATAGAGGACCCCATCAACGAGTGTATATCGAGACGCTTTCTTCCTCAACCTCATCTCTTCTTGCTTATCTTCAAGCACTAACCCGTCTCGTAGAAAAGAGACAATTGGATCTGTCCAACTCGGTGTATTCGGGTCTGTGCTGATCTCTATCATTCTTGGCTTCATGAAGCTCTGTTCATCTAAAACTTCAACGAAAACTGATCTGGAGCTTAAGGAACTATCAGAGGCGAACTTAGAAAGTGAATCTGCTTGTTTATTCTCAATTTAGGGAATTTTGCGCAAATAAAATTTTTGGAATTTGCACTTCAGCTCGGCCACCAAGGCTACATACTTCATCATAACAGAATCAACAACCTCGCAAAGTGAGTTGACTTGATTAATCACAAGTTGCGAGTCACTATATACTTGTATCGCCATGACTTTCAGCTCCAATGCTAGTTGCAAGCTAAGTAGCAGAGCTTCATACTCAGCCATGTTGTTTGTTGTATCGAAGTTAAATTTCAAAGCATGCTCACTTCAATATCCATTTGGATCAACTAGGAGAGCACCAACTCTTGAGCCCTTATTATTAAATGTTCCATCAACATATAAGGTCCAATTGCTCGGCTCGGGATTAGAGCTTGGGTGACATGGGGTGCATTCTATGATAAAATCTGCCAGTGCTTTAGCTCGGATTACAGACCTCTATTGAAATGTTATCTCGAATTCCCCCAGTTCTACTGCCCATTTAATTAAGCTTCCTGAGCACTCCGGCTTCTGAAGGATCTGTCGAAGAGGTTGGTCTGTGAAGGCTATGATTGGGTGTGATTGGAAATATAGCCTCAGCTTTCTGGCCGAAATGACAACTGTTAACGTTGCTTTCTCAGCAATAGGGTATCCCAGTTCTGCGCCATGTAGTACACTGTTGGTATAATAAACCGGTTTCTACTGTTTACCTTCTTCTCTCACTAGGACAGAACTAATTGCTTCACCTAAAATACCGAGGTACAAATAGAGGATTTATCCATCAATAGCCTTTGTCAACAAAGGGGGTGAGCTAAGATAAGACTTCAGCTCATCGAATGTAGCTTGGCATTCTGGGTTCCATTCAAACTTCTTCCGTTTGTCAGATTCATCCTTCTACATTGCTGATCTCATGATCTTGAAGAATGGCAAGCACTTATCTGCTAACTTTGATATGAACCGGTGAAGAGCTGCCACCTTCCCAATTAATCTCTATATATCTTTCATTGACTTCGATGGTTCCATCTCGGCTATTGCTTTAATCTTTTTTCGGTTAACCTCAATCCCCCTCTAGGAAACCATGAAGCCTAAAAATTTCCCAAATTCTATGCCGAAGATGCACTTTGTTGGATTCAACCGCATTCTATTCTTTCTGAGGTTATTGAGTGTTTCATCGAGGTCAGCTAGATGATCCTCTGCCTTCGGGCTCTTCACCACGATATCATCGACATAAACTTCCAGATTCCTACCGATCTGAGCTTGGAAGACGATGGTCACCATTTTCTAGTAAGTGGCACCTGCGTTCTTTAAGCCAAAGGGCATTATGACATAGTAGTAAATTTCATCACCTGTATAGAACGAGGTTTTCTCTTCATCCTCTGGAGCCATCGGCACTTGATGGTAACCAGAATATGTATCCAAGAGACTTAATCTCTCATTTCCAAAAGCCGCTTCAACCAGTTTGTCAATGCTTGGCATCAGATAACAGTCTTTGGGACAAGCTTGGTTGAGATTTGTGTAATTGATGCACATTCGTCATTTACCATTTGCCTTCTTGACCAACACTGGGTTAGCCACCCATTCACAGTAATCAACTCTTTTGACGAAACCAGCTTGCAAGAGTTTCTCTACTTCTTCTTTTATAACCTGAAGCCTCTCCCCCCCAAAGAGACATCGCTTCTGGGCTATTGGTTTCTTTAATGGATTGGTGCTGAGCTTGTGCTGAGATACCAAGGTTGGAATTCCTAGCATGTCTGTTGAGTTCCAAGTGAAGACATCTTTGTTAGCTTAGAGGAAAGCTATTAGCTCTACTCTTTCTTTTGGATTCAACCGAGTTCCAATTTGTGTCGTCTTGTTTTGATCTCAGTCATCTAATAGCACTTCCTCTACATCCTTAACTAGGGTAGCTCTAGTTTCATCCTCTGGTCGGTTGTCTACTATCTCAAACCCCATTACCTGCTGATTATCATGAACTGGTTGGGGAATGGTTTCTAGTGTCTAATCTTTGCCTTTTTGAGGCCTTATAATCGAGGTAATATAGCAATGTTTAGCCACCTCCTGCTTACCTCGTAGTGTTGCTATCCCCATAGGGGTTAGGAACTTCATGCAAAGGTGAGATTGAGAGACCATAGCTCGAATCTCGGTTAATGTGGGTCGTCCAATAACAACATTGAAAGAGAATGCCATTTTGACAACTAGAAACCAAACTGAAGGGGTAACATAAATTCGGCCGCTCCCAAAAACAACGTTGAGAGTAAGGACTCCTTCTACCTGAACAGGTTGGTTATTAAAGCCATATATGGGACCATCGTGCCTCTACAACAAAGCTAGATCCAGTCCGAGACTCTCAAAACAGTGAAAATACATAATGTCTAGTGCACTCCCTGTGTCAACAATGACACGTTGTACCTCACAGTTGTTAATTATAAAAGAAGTGACCAAAGGATCATTATGGGGTGTTACAACTATGTCAAAGTCAGTAGGTGTGCAAGTGATAGGTTGATTCTTCCAATCAGCGTCGTCAAACTTTCGTTTCTGGGCTTGGTTTTGACGCTTCACCTCCATGACATACAATTTTCTCTGCTTGGAGCTCAAACCCCCTGCTTCCAATCCTTCAATACTCGTGTATAATTCTGGCCAGTGGCGGAAGCAGTGGTGGGGCTTGTTGATATCCCACTCCTTGCCTATTTCTTGCATTACAAGATCCCTGTAGCTATGGCCCCTACTCTTTGACAAACTTCGGTTGCTCTGTTCTCTAGATGTATTCATTGAGCATTCCTTTCTGAGCTAGACTTTCCAACTCGGACCTTAGACAATTACACTGCTCCGTTGTATGACCGTGATCTTGATGAAAATCACAGTATCCAGTATGATCATGTGTAGCAGTAGAACTTCTCATCGGCCTTAGTCGCCTCAAATCCATCTTATTCTTGATCTACATGAATATCTGCAACCTCGGTAGATTGAAAGGAGTCCATGTAACTGGTGCTTTACTGGTAATTTGCTGGGGGGTACTGAGTTTGGCTTTCTGAATCTCGATGTGGAGGTCGACATTGGACCTCGACTCTATACTATCTTCATCCGCTTTCTGCTTTGACCTTCATCTCTCCAATCTGGGTTTTGATTCTTGGGAAGAATTGGTTTCTGTGATAGGACATATTCATTAGCAGTTATGAATTTCAAAAATCTGTCATTAACTTCATTAAAAGTAGCAGCAGGATGCTTTATTAAGCTATCTCTGAATCTTTCATGTTGGAGACCTTGAATTACAGCCGCAATTCCCACGGCTTGGTTGAATGAGCTAACTTCAAAGACTGCATCATTGAACCAGCTCATGTAATTCTTCAAAGATTCTCCTTCCCTCTTTTTGACTCGCATTAGTTCAGAAGTAGTTTTCCTAATCATCCTTCTACTGGAAAACTTTGTAACAAAAGCAGATGTCATTTCTGTATAAGAGCTGATAGATCTCGGAGGCAAACTATAGTACCAAGTTCAAGCATTACCACGAAGAGTGGAGGGAAAAATTTTGCACATCAACACATCAGAAGCGTTCTGAGCTTGCATACAAGAGTAGAAGGTGTGGAGGTGATCATCTGGATCCTTCGTTCCATCATATGTCTTGAGCTAAGGTATCTTGAAACCAGTAGGATAAGGTTCCAATGTAATGTTAGTGTTCAGAGGATGAGGTATAGAGTCAGTGTTATGGTGTGGAGGTGGGGTACCTCGTTACTCGACTACTGGTTTGTCTTAGTTGTCTAAATGTCGTGTGACATTATCAGGTAGAGGTTGTTGAACTGGGGCTACATGAGACTGATCCTGAGACTCACTAAGAGTAGGAGCATGTTAAGCTGGTTAAGGGTCTTGTTGTTGAATAGAGGGTTGCTGAGTAGGGTTGAGTAGATTGATGAGGGGATCACCAGGATTATTTCAAGCTAAGAGCTGAGCCAAAACTAACTGAAAAACAACGAACTGCTGTTGCATGGCAGCAACCTGAGCTGTAACTACATCTCCTTGATTGGCAGTGGAAGCTGAGTTATGGGCTGAGTTGTGAGGTTGGTTTTCATCTCCTCCTTCTGCATGTTCAACAGGAGGGAATAGGTTTGGGATTTGAGGTGGGATGTGAGCTAGGAGGTTGTTGGGGTATTGCCCTTGACCTTGTCCAAGAGGTTGAGCCTGATTTCAAGCTCGGACAGATCGAGTGTTGACCATGATGAGAAACCAACAAAAGAGCTTTTAGTTCGATTCCCACAGATGGCGCCAATGTAATTGCACCAAACCAAAGATCCTTCTTCAGTCCGCGTCTTCACTCCAGATCAACCTGCAAAGCCCCAAGGTGGGTCCTCGGGGTAAACACTCCGATGTTTAAGTCAGCAATAATCGAATCTACCTCTACAATAATGAAAAAGAAACTTTAGGTTGGTTTCAATTACCTTTTGGGGTGGCCCCTAGAGGGTATTTATAGGCCTTCGTGAGGTGTCCACGTGACTTACTTAACAATATAATCGAAGTGTGACGTGTCCCTTCAGGCGATAATTTCGGGACTGAGAAATTATGTGTGATAAATCGAGTGTAGGCATGTTCACTGTATCTACCATGCAGCCATTTAATCGAGAAGCACTAGGTTTAACTTTGCTTCGATTATTAAGGAACTGTAGCAGTACGTTCGAGGTTAAGGACTTCGGACCTATCCTTACAATTTTATTTATTGTTTTAGGTAAAATATGTAAAAACAAAAATTTTCTCAAATTCTTAGTCTAAAGATAAAATAAAAAAAATATATTATTCCAAGATAGAGAGAATAATAATTATTTATTTATTATAAGATATAAGATCTACACAAGGTAATTTTCATTAAAAATTTTGTGTTTTTGATAAAACTTTAGGTATTTTTAAAATATAAAAATGCCAAAATTTGCACTGAAATTGTGTGTTTTGGTTCAATCCAAAGCCAAACTTAAAATGGATGATGCATTTCATTTATCAAAGCAAATTGATCGAAATATTTCCAATTCAATAGGGGTGTTCGCGGTGTGGTTTGGTTCGGATTTTAACATTTTTTAATCCAATCCAATTTAATCGGTTAGTAAAATTTTTAAACCAATCCAATCCACTATTATATGATAACCAAACCAATCCAATTTAAATCGGATCGGTGTGGTTCGGTCGGATTGATAGGTTTTTAACACTATTAAATATATGAAATAATGTAAATAAATTTAACATTAAGTAAAAAACATAAATATAAAATACGTTAATATCCAAATAAATAGAAACATAATTAAAAAAAAGTACAAATTATAAACAAATTCTTATACTCTTTTACAATTGTAAAA